TTGAAGGCCATTGCTATTTGGTTGGAGGCCATTGCTATTTGGTTGGAGGCTATTACTATTTGGTTGCAGGCCATTGCTATTAGGTTGGAGGCCATTGCTATTTGGTTGGAGGCCATTGCTATTAGGTTGGAGGCCATTGCTCATTGCTATTCGGTTGGAGGCCATTTCTATTGGATTCGAGGCCATTGCTATTAGAGAGAATCAACGAAAAGAAAGAAAGGTCTATTTCTTTGCATAGGTGTCCGGACGACTCCGCTACCGGCTACCAAAGGCAGTTTCGATTGGTCAAGGAGAGAAGGGAGAGTGGTTGACGACCTCACTGAAGGAGTATCTGAATGATTTCTATGCGGTGCCAATTGCCTTGTGCAAATCCTGACCCGTTGCCGAGGTTTCAGAACCGTTGTGATCTGTTGGGCATTTTTGTCTGATTCTAATTTATTTATTGTTTCTAATAGCAAACAGTGTTACTACTAGTAAGGCACCTGTTACTACTAGCGTGGCACTTGTTTCTACTAGCGTGGCACTAGAAGGCTACCGCTTCTAGTAACAAGTGCCTTACTAGTAGAAACAAGAAGCTAGTAAATATAAATCCTAATTAAACTTAATTCTAATAGCTTCTTGTTACTACTACGTAGTAAGGCACTTGTTACTAGTAGCGATGCACTTGTTCCTAGTAGCGATGCCCCTTGTTGGGCCAGGATTACTTTGGCAAGGAGTTGTTCCCTTTAATTCGTTATTCATTTGCATGGCGGCCGCAGACATTCGTCCGGGAAAGGAGGCGGTGACCGTTACCAAGAGTGACCGTTCAATTGGCCAAACGGGTCACCGAACGGATAGAGATGGCCCAAAGGCCATCTCTCCTGAACCCTCCCTGCGGTCAACCGTCTGGAGTGTCCAAAAGCAAAGCAATGCCAAGCAGCGGTAGGGTCGGCTGCTCTCACTCAGAGGTGCAAAGAAAGGGCTGTTCTTTAGGGCCCAGCTGGATTGCAGCATCACCGCTGGCTGCTTTTTGGCTTCATCCTGCAACATTCAAACTAGTCTTTCTGCAAGCCCTCAAAGCGACATAATTATTCTCTAACCTGCTTGAAGGTGTGTCCGCGCTTTCAAGCGAAGACTGCAAGGCCTGCCTGAACCACTACTATAACCAGCTTCTTCTCTTTTGTCTCAGTCTTGCGGCCAATGCCCTTGATGCCACTTACCCATAGGAAGATCATAGAATGGTGGGTCGATGCAAATCCTTGGCTTTAGAAGCTCTGCTCCAAAAGTTCCTTGAGCCTCTCTCCTCTCGTGACACATAGGAGCAAGGACGCTGCATCGCTGCTAGGAACAAGGACGCTACTAGGAGGAAAGGGCATCGCTACGAACGGAGCAAGGACCTCAGGTGAAATTCATTCCAAAAACAGCCCAGTCGCGACCGACCGAGAGTGCCGTGAGAGGCAGAAAGGCAGGGAGTTCCAACAGCGCCGATGAGAGGGAGACACAGCTCGCCGTGTCACTCTCGGCAGCCTCCATCGCGTGAGTTACGCGAGCTCCAGTGGAGCTCAAGCGAAACTCCTCGAATTTGACAATACGGTTCTTGTGGTGTGCACTTCAATCGAACCATGCGTTTAGAGTAAAATATATCGTTCATCTTGCTTTTGAAGGAACGTGTAGAATTAGAATGATAGCGTGATAAAGCCGCTGTATTGGACAGCCATCTTGTCAGGATCTTCATGGGTTCTGATACCTGCCCTTGGATGCCCTTTGGCCTTTTATTCCGTAGCTCGGAGCTGTTGGCTTTTTGTCTGTCTTCTAGCTCTGGACTGGGCACCTATTCTATGTACAAAGGCACCCCGTCTTGCACGGGGGCAGTGCCCGTCCTGCCCTCTAAGAACGCTTCATTACCCTTGAGCCACTTCAAGCCCAACAAAACTCTCAAGGAAGCTTCCCCCGCCGCCCTGTCGGAGCTTCCTTGAAGAAGCGTGAGCTATCCTGCGTTCTAAGTAGTAGCTACTTGTTAGCTACTAGCTACCTCTAGCAAGCTACTATCGCGGCCTACCCCCCCGCTAACTAAAAAAATCAGGAACAAACAAACAAACAAATGATCAACCAACAAAAAACAAAAAGAAAAAACACAATGGTAAAAGTCAGCTCTCAGAAGCCGTCTGCAAATCTGCCTTTAACGATCCCACAGACGTCAAACTCGTTGCTGTGGGTGGCGAAGCTTTAGCCCCCTGAATGCTAGAGATGGGTTTATTCACAACACAAAAGTAGAGTGGCTAAAGCAACACATGTGTAAGATGGCTTTATTTGGAAGCGAGAAAGATTGCGGATTTTAGAGGGACTAGTGAGGTCAGGCCAGCAAGGGGTCAACACTTTTTGTGAACAAAGAAACTCATCTGAATCCGAGGAGACGACTGTTTTGGCTTTGGCTTTTGTCTTACTTTTAGCTTTCCCCTGGCATTCATCATTCCGCACTACTGAAAAAGCTGAGTGCCAATAGCTGATGCAAAAAGGCGAGCTTACGTGCTGAACAGAAATCAAACTCTACATCTTTGCAGCTTTGTGCAAATCAATTCTACATCACAAGAAATTCATGATTTTTGTTTGTACCAACACCTTCAACTTGACAATACGTAAAGACATGTCAGCTCAGGCAGCTGGTTCGCCTTTCTTCTTCGCGTCGCTTTTTTTCTTTGGCGACATGGCTGAGAAGAAAGCGAAGTGAAGCTGGTACGGCCGGATCCATGAGGGGCAGTTAGGCTCTTGTTGCCTTTGAATCTGAACAGACCGTTGGAATCGGTGGCAAGGCGTCGCAAGAAGAGACAACTATTGGGAGTATGGCTGTGTCAAAGGGGAAGCAGTCAAAAGGCCACTGGCACGCTTGGCCTGGTTTGGCTTGTCAGAGTATTTTGTCTAGTGGAATGGCTGCCTACAGCCAGTTGTGGCTATGGTGGGCGAGACATCAAACACATCAAACACGGAAGGACAAAACAAACATACGATATAATACGAGAAGATACATTATGACATGATTCTGCTAAGCAAGGTGACAAACAAGTGATGAACAACTGACATGCACAAAGAACGGCCTAAACTTTGTGGAGGGGCGCGAGAAAGGCCGAGCATCGTCCAACTGAAACTGGAAGACTGCCTCTGCAACGCTGGCAAAACAATGAAAAAGCAAGACAAACAAAACACCTGTTTTGTTTCCTTGTGCTTTTTCTTTCCTCCTTGTTCCTTGTGTGTCTCATAATTTCACACATTCGTACTCTCAAGACGGACTGCACATCCATCCAGTCGACTGTCGGCCACAGCTGGTGTCACATTCAGCTACCTGGCCTCTAAATTCTCGAAATGCACGCACCTGCGACTTGCGATTTGCCCCTGAGGACATGAGGCGGACACATGCATCCACATATATAGTGCACATACATGTTGTGTTGCTGTATGAGGTCCGTGGAACGTTGGTCACACGGTTGAGAGAGATACAGGGAAACTGACAAACAACATCGTTCTTTTCACAGCTGCATAAGTTGTGGCAGCTTGGTTAACCTTCCCCCATTAGTCAACCTCGAGGAGGGGAGACCTTTCCTCTCTAGGATTGCAACTTGCACCCTCAAAAGATGCAAGGAACAAGAAGCTACTAGGGGGTCCTGGCATCGCTACTAGGAGCAAGAAAATACTAGGAGCAAAGGGCATCGCTACTAGGAACAAGGACGCTACTAGGGGCTCCTGGCCGTACTACTAGGAGCATCTCAAACCCGAAACGCTCAAGAGCCTTTTGGAGCTTCTCAAGTGGCTTTGAAAGACTTCTGGAATGCTCCTTCCCTGAGAAGGGCCCAAAGGACAGTTCCACAGTCAAGAAAGTAAGAATGGAAGCAGTTTGAACGAGGTGAGCACTTCTCTGCTTGACACCACAAAAACAAGTCAGGTCTTTTACTGCAAAGGGAAAGAACAGCAAACAAGAAAGGAGCCTGAAAAAGGAGAAGAGTAGCAAGGACGCTACTAGGTGGAGGCCATCGCTATTAGGTTGGAGGCCATCGCTACTAGTAGCAAATAGCTACTAGTAGCAAAGGGCTTTACTACTAGGAGCAAGGACGCTACTAGTAACTGCTGGCCTTTCTACTAGGAGCAAGAAGCTACTAGAGTAGGAAGGATGATTTTTAAGCAGCGCGACTCATGGCACATTTAACTACCTCTCACCACGCGCTTCTCGGCACTTGCAAACAGAATTGGAAAGAACCCCTCAGCACCTAAGAACACAAAACCTGCGTCGTGGCCCGCGCGATGCGACGGCAAAACCGATAAAACCTGAAAACCGAGAAAACCGAGAAAACCAGAAAACCGAGAAAACCAGAAAACCGAGAAAACCAGAAAACCGAGAAAACCGAGAAAACCGTTTTCGTGTTTTGCCGTGTGGAAGTTTATTCCAGTTTTCTGAGGTCTTCTTGCTTGTCTTGTCTTTGAGCGTGAAAACGAGAAAAGCAAGAGAACAGTTTTCGCCGTTTTCCCGTTTTCGCCGTTTTCGTTGTTTTCGCCGTTTTCCCGTTTTCGCCGCTTTCGTCGTTTTCGCCGTTTTCGCCGTTTTTTGTCGTTTTCGTGGTTTTCGCGCAGTCGTCGTTTTCGTGGTCTTCGCCACTTTCGAAGGTTTTCAGCCCGAAAGAGGCCCAACAACAGGATGTGGCAGGAGGCGCCTATATAGTGTCCAACCTTGGATGTCTCTCGTATATCATATATTGTATATATAGATATATATGTAGCTACCCCCGCCAAAGATCTACCATTTTTGCCTGTTGCGTGCCTGTTTGAGTTATATTTTCAGAAATCAGATGAACCTTTTGGACAATTTCACTGGTTTCAGAGAACAAATTGAGGACAATTTTGACCATATTGTGGTCTTTGACTGGGTGTTAGTTAAATCATTGATTGGTTCTAACTGTTTTGTATCACCGGCGCCTATGATGATTTTATTGTCCGTGTTTTTCAGTAAAAGTTTTAACAATTTGGTCATATAGATTTAATCAAAGAAGATGACATCAACATTGCTATGATCAAACTCTGGTAGTTCATCCCCCTTATGAACTGGAATTATTAAAAAAATATGGGTTGTTGCGTCACCTTCTATTTTTTGACTTCACCAGTTATGAGGCACTTTGTTTTTCCATCTTTTAAAAATACTGACCCGTGAAACTCTTGCCCGATCCAGCAAAATTTGATCTGATCAGGCAGGGGCTTTGTTTTTCAACTTGCTTACATATTCCGGGGGTGTCCCATTCATCCACCACCTCTGTTGGTTCATTGTCTAGTTTTTGAATTTCCATTAAGGCATTATATCAAAATATATACTTATTGGTTGGAAAATTGATTGATTTGTTTGTCAGTCTCCACTTGCCTATGCCTTCTTCAAAGTTCAATATTCCAGTCTGATATGATTTTTGAAAACGATTTGGTTCGCCCATCACTCTAGTCAAATCATCTTCATGGATCCTGTAGGCATCACTCTCCACTGAATAGACCTTAATATAATTATGTCGGGCACGCCAGCCATAGATACAAGGAGCCAAAATAGTTTTATAAAGCAAAAACAAAGCCAAAAAAAACAAAAGGCAAAGCAAACAAAAAAGCAAAAAATGTAGCTGTGCGTATTTGTCCCTTTGTTTCACATTTGTTTCGCTTTATTTTCGCATTTTTTCGCTTTATTTTTGCATTTGTTTTGTTTTTTGGGGGGGTCTTTTTTCCTGGTACCACTTCTGCACTTATGAGAACTTTTACCCGTCAGCAATATTTGCTGTACCCTCCTAGGAAAAAAGCGAAAAAACGAAACAAATGCGAAAATAAAGCGAAAAAATGCGAAAATAAAGCGATACAAAAGTGAAAAAAACCGACAACTACCCACAGCTACATTGTTTTGCTGTTTTGTTTGTTTTTTGCCTATTGTTGCGCTTTGTTTTCGCTTTGTTATTTGCTTTTGTTTTGCTTTGTTTGGCTTTTGCTTTGTTTTTGCTTGGTTTTTGCATTTTCATGTGCTTTTATTTTGTTTTTCAGTTTTTTCACAAAACAAACTATTTGATGGTTGGCCATGTATGGCTGCCATCGCCCAACATAGTAATATCATTTCTGAAAAATGATTATGCTTCATTCATTGAAAAGTTATGATATTGAAGAAGCAAAACTCTTTTATATCTCTAAGCCCATTGACTAATTCATGTCTGTTGGTGGTGTTTAAGATGTAATAGGTATTGCGTGTTTGTTTCTTCATATTTTTCTTGTTGTATGGCACAAACCCTTCCTCCAAACTCCCTCTGGTAATGGCAAGCCTCCCTCAAAGTGTGAAACCGTAACTCTTCTGTGCGGTGTTGTGATGTTTCCTATTTTTTCGTCATCTTTAGTAAGATCGGTTTCCCATAGTTCATTAACAAGCTGGTCATAATTGACCTAATGAATGAATGAAGGAGTTGTGTAACAACATATTTTTCGTTGTTTGCTTCCAATAGTTTTCTTAAACACTTTCCATATATTACTGTAAGTTCTTATTGAAACACATTTGATGCCTTCACTTCCACCGTATACAATGTAAAACTAAATAATTTGCGAATGTCAATGTCATCCCTGTAATGGTTCCAACTACCAAACTCATAAAAACCGGTATGAATTTTGGCTTTAGTCCTGTCAATCTCTATCAGTTTTGTTGTGTCAGTTTTTAATCAAAAAACAACCTGAGGGGACTATAGTCCTACAATTTTTCTATCAAAATAACTGATGGGACTATAGCCGTGTCATACTTTGAAATATTTGTGTCATGTCTTATTGCATGATGACCCTTGAGATGCTGACTGCATGTTGGTTTCAGGAAAGTACGCGTACAAACGCTTTGTATGCGTACATTGCTCAAACCAACAAAACCAAAAAAAAACAAGATTGCGCACAACTCTTGTCAGGAATCTTGGTCTGATGCAGCCAATGCACATTACACAAGTTGGATGACCCTGGGTCTGAAAAAAGCACACACACACACCAAACCAAGATTCATTTGTACGCGTACTGTACGCGTACCATGGTCAAACCATGAAACCAAGAACCAAGATTGCACACAGCTCTTGTCAGGAATCTTGGTTTGACAGTCAGTGGGTCTCAAAGGACACACCCCAAACCAAGATTCATTTTCATATGTCATAGGTCTGTGCAATCTTGGTTCTTGGTTTCTTGGTTTGACCATCGTATTCGTACAGTACGCGTACTCCCCTGCAACCAATGATGTGCAGTGAGCATCACAACAGTTAGCATACAGTAAACATTGACCATTGTACGCGTACAGTACGCGTACTTCCCTGCAACCAATGATGTGCAGTGAGCATCTCAACAGTTAGCGCACAATAAGACATGCGTATATACATATACATGGTACTCCCCTTTCAATAAATTGATGGATGAGCATCCACAACCGTGAAACAAGCAAAAATGGTAGATCTTTGGGGGGGTACTATATATATATATATACTCTATAAGTCCAAGCACTAGTTGTACAATAGTCGTTGTGACAACCACCATTCCCGAATCATCAATCAAGACAGCAACTTCCAATCCCAGATCAATCTCAGGCATGCTTTTCTGACTCCACTCCAACAGGCTCTTACTTTCGTTTTCGCCGTTTTCGCCGTTTTCGCGTTTTCGCCGTTTTCGTCAACTTTCGTTTTCGTCGTTTTCGCGACGATGAGGTGTTCGAGAAAACCGTGAGCCGTGT